AGGTGCCGGAGCTACTAGTCCTAGAGGTGCTACTGGTGCTGGAGGTGCTGCTCGTGCTGGAGGTACTAGAGGTGCTACTGGTGCTGGAGGTGCTGGACCTACTAGTCCTAGAGGTACAGCTGGCGCTGGAGGTGCTGGAGGTGCTGCAGGTGCTAGAGGCGCTGGAGCTGGAGGTACTGGAGCTGCTCGAGCTGCTGGTCCAGGAGGTGCTCGTACTGGAGGTGCTGGAGCTGCCGGAGCTGGTGGTGCTGTTCGTGCTGTAGGTGCTACTGGAGTTGCTGGCAGTGGAGGTAGTGGAGGTACTGCTGGTGCTGGAGGTTCTGGAGCTGCCGGAGCAGGTGGTACTGCTGGTGCTGGAGGTGCTAGAGGTGCTACTGGAGCTGCTGGCACTGGAGGTGCTCGAGGTACTGCTGGTGCTGGAGGCGCTGGAGCTGGAGGTACTGGAGGTACTGGAGGTGCTGGAGCTTGTGGTCCTGGAGGTGCTCGTACTAGAGGTACTGGAGCTGCCGGAGCAGGTGGTGCTGCTGGCGCTGGAGGTGCTGGAGGTGCTACTGGAGCTACTTGCACTGGAGGTGCTGGAGGTACTACTAGTGCTAGAGGTCCTCGCGCTGCCGGAGCTAGTGGTGCTGCTGGTGCTGGAGGTGCTGGAGGTGCTGCTGAAGCTGCTGGTACTGCCCTGCGCAGACCGTTTTTCTACTTGCAGCCGCAGTCGTCCCTGCCGCCGCCTGACTCCGTCCTTCGCCAGGTTCTTAGTCTCCCGTCTTCCACTGGCCTCCCTCTACCCCTCCTGTGTCCACCGAGAGACCAGTCTCAGCCACAGCTACTGCCTGGCTCCCCGCTGCCTGCGCCTGCTCCTCACACTGAGGTGACTGAGTCCCTGACTGAGCGTCGTGAGCCTGAGACTCGTGCTTCCACACCTATTCGAGCTCGTCGTGTCGCCCGTCCTCATCCTCCTGCTGTCCCAGGCACTCACGGTATGGCACTTCGTCCTTCCTCTGTTCCACAGAGTGTTGACCTGCCTGAGCCTCCCGCATCCTCTCTTCTGCATGTTCCTGACCCTGAGTCCGACCTTGCTCGTGCTGCCAGTCCTACTGTCACTCGTCTCTTTGCTACTGTCGTCACTGACCCTGACCTTGAGTCTACTGCAGCGTTTGCCCTATTCACTGAGCTAGTCGACTTTGCAGCTAGGAGTCGTCTCGATTACGTCGCGAGTCTTGTCACTGAGTCTGAGTCTGTCTGTCCTCCGTCCATCGGGGGTGAGCTTGCCCTTGGCAATGACGTACTTGAGGACAAACAGTTTGAGCTTGAGTGTCTTGCGGCCCCTTTACCTCGTTTCGCATCCATGCTGCTTTGCCCTGAGGGAGACCCGGATGCACTTGACATCCCTACCCCACGCTCTTACGCTGAGGCGATCGCGGGTGAGTACTCCTCTTAGTGGGAGACAGCCATGGACGCAGAGATGGCTTCCTGGAAGTCCATATGCACCTACGTCGACGAGGTTCCTCCTCCTAGGGCGAACATAGTCGATGGCATGTGGATTTTCAGAGTGAAGCGGCCGCCTGGTTCTCCGCCTGCATTCAAGGCGTGTTATGTTGCTCAAGGCTTCAGTCAGCGACAGGGGGTCGAATTCTTCGATACCTTCTCCCCCACCCCGAAGATGACTACTCTTCAGGTGCTGCTGCACGTTGCAGCACAGCGTGACTACGAGCTGCACTCCCTCGACTTCTCCACATTTTTCCTGCAGGGCAGCTTTCACGAGGGGATCTGGCTGCGCCGCCCACCTGGCTTCACTGGGTCGTTTCCTGCGGGTACCCAGTGGAGCCTCCGGCGGCCAGTCTACGGTCTCCGCCAGGCGCCCCGAGAGTGGCACGACACACTGAGGACTACACTTGCGGCTCTTGGGTTTGCTCCTTCTTCTGCTGAACCGTCGTTGTTTCTACGCACCGACACTACCCTGTCGCCGTTCTACGTTCTAGTGTACGTCGACGACTTGGTTTTTGCTACTGCTGACATTGAGGCGCTGGCCCTAGTGAAGGCGGAGCTGCAGGAGAGACACACCTGCACTAACCTGGGTGAGCTGCGTAGCTATCTTGGCTTGCAGATCACGCGGGACAGAGCACGGCGCACCATCACCCTGACTCCGTCACACATGGTGCACCAGGTCCTTCAGCGCTTCGGCTTCTACTTCTCCTTGCCACAGCCCACTCCTCTGTCTACCGGCCACTCGCTCTCAGCTCCACCTTCAGACGAGTCCGTAGAGCCGAGTGGTCCGTACCTAGAGCTTGTGGGTTGCCTCATATACCTGATGACGTGCACACGACCTGACCTCGCGTACCCTCTCAGCCTCTTGGCTCGCTATGTGACTAACGGTAGACACCGAAAGGTGCACTGGGATGCTGCGAAGAGGGTACTGCGTTACTTGTGCAGTACACCGGGCATGGGGCTAGTGCTTGGAGGACAGGGTTCATTGGTACTCACAAGACACTCCGACGCTTCTTGGGCCGACGACCAGGCGACTCAGCGTTCGTCACAGGGTTACACCTTCAGTCTTTGCTCTGGTTCTGTCTCGTGGAGGTCCACTCGTTCTTCTTCTGTGCTTGGTTCCAGCTGTGAGGCCGAGATCTACGCTGGGGCCATGAGCTACGCTGGCTGACCTACCTGCTGACCGACTTGGGGGAGCGGCCTCGTTCTCCTCCAGTTCTGTACGTCTTCAACAAGGCAATGCTTGCCTTGTGTCACGAGCAGAGACTGGAGCACTGAATGAAGCACATTGTTCTTTGCTACTTCCTTGCTCGTGAGCTGCAGCAGCGTCGTCAGCTCCGCCTTTCCTACATGGCCTCGCGGGCCAACACTGCTGATGTGTTCACCAAGGCACTTGGGTCTGGTGGTCATCAGCGTTTCTGCACTGCTCTTGGGCTTGTACCCACGCTGCCTCACCTGCTTGTTTACTCTTGCTAGGTTGTGATCAGTGTACTGCCTTGCTATTGTAACTCTGCATGTGAACTGGCCTTGTGGCCGCTTGCTTGTGCTCAGATTGTGTGGTGTCCTTGAGATCCACCCTGAGCTTTGCTTTGTTTTGCTTTGCTCTGTTGTATTGCTTGACTGGTCTTGTAACTGTCTTGTTGTCCCCCACTTAGCCTATGGGGGTGTGTCAAAGTACAATCTTACTTGTAGGCTATATTGGGGCACTCCTTATGGGGTACAACACTTCTAGGGTTAGTACTTGTACCCCAACTCTTGCTAAGCCAATCATTCCTGCACAGTTATTCTGACACTGGTTAGGTTTGTCGTGATGCTCGTCTTACTCCTCTCTGCCCACCTCAGGTGGAATTTCTACGCCATGCCGCGTAACGCGATGGTTCCTCACTTTGTTTTTTTGCCATGATGTATTGCTTGTACAAAGTCGTGTCGTTAAAAGATGAAAAGTACCATACGATACTGAAATAAATCTTTGATCATTCTTTGCTGCGAATTTTCAACATCGCGTATAGGACCAACCGTTTCTTCGCCCGTTACAGCTAACGGTGTTTCGCCGCCTTCGCGCGTAATGCATCGCTGGACTGGCCCAGGTCGGCCTACGCTTCGGGACTAGCCCGAACCTCGCTGCCAGCATCACACTAATTAGCTCATACGCACTGCGTCGTTTGCATGTTTTGCTGTAAATGTTCACTCATGCCTTCGCTTACATTTGCACTCGTTTACCAACTGTGTGCAGCCCTCGCTATCTCGCTACATTGCACCCGTAACACATACGCAACGTCGTGATAGCTTGCTTGGACCACCTTGCAAAAGCTGCGTACTTTTGTTCAGAAGAGGTACGGTATACAAATTTACACGAGGACAAATATACATGTCCAGAACCTAATAAATTGCCATATCATCATCTAACCCTAAGAAATCAAGTCATTAGGCAATGGAGTTAGCTTGGATCCTTCAATCAGCTTCTTCAGCTTCTCCTCCGCTTTACCGTATTCTCCCGGACAAAACACCCCCCCATAATTGTACACCCCCGGGTAGCTTGTGCGGGGTGGGTGTTATGGGGAGCCTCGTTTCTACTATACCCCCCTTTTGGGCTGATTTTCTATAACACCCCCCTTTTCTTACGAATTCGTTATAATAGTCGTTAACGAGTAGCTGCAATATTGAAGAATATCGCGAAAATTTCTCCCTAGATGAAATTTCGCGGTACATTCACTTACAATCTACCGAGATTCCCCCCCTCGCACTACTTCGCTGTGACCACGTGCAGGCGAATCTTCCGCTGCAAGTGGCAAGAGAGGTGCCACATGGCATTTCGTGGGGGTGATGAAGCTCGTGGCCGAAACCCACATTCGCGCCTCAGACAGTGATGTTAAAATGAAAATCAAAACACCCACATTGTCTAATTAAATAAACACTAACACTAAAATATACCATATGTAAAGACCCGGGTATTATGTATTTTTTTCCTATGAGGAGATCCCCCCCATTTTTTCCCTGTATTTTTAGCTATACCCTAGGGTGCTATGTCCGGGAGAATACGGTACTTGTTATCAAGCAAAACTGCTTTAGTGGCTCTGGCATTGAATCGTGTACACTCCACCACCTCTTATGAGCCGCCTCGTTAGCGAAGTCAACAAAATTGGGTATCAGCACGTTGCAATCAAATTCACGGTAACACCACCACGGCTTCATGCCAAGGTAGTGTATTGCGTGGATTTCCGAAGGGTCTTGTGAGAACCACCTGCTCTTCATGTCGATGATAGCTTGTTTCTTCACAGGGTCAGAGGTCCAGACGGGTTTGAGGGTGTTTATGGACTCTGGTAAGCGGTGCCACCAGGTGAAAACGTTGTTCAAGAAGCCCTGGACAGGGGGGAGTATGAAGGAAATTGGTGGACGAGAAATTAGGGAGCTGACAGTCAACTCGGAATGACTCAAACTTCACACTTCACACTTCACCTTCACCCACTCCAAGGGGCTGATAGGGTGTCACATGACATGACATAGCATCATGGTCTCACCTGGTCCCCTCCATTCGCCGATCGCACTCGCTCCAGATTTGCCATCAGCAGCTCGAACGTGCAATCTGACGGCTCCAGGACCATCACACCCGAGTTGAAATCTGAGCCGTCGTTTCCGCGGGCGGAGATCTCGGGGTAGGAGAAGAGAAAGTCAACGCTGGTCAAGAGGAGCAGGTCCGAGTCAATGAAGACCAGCTTGGCGTACTCTGCCTGCTGCCACAGCCGCAGCTTGCTGGGGGGGGGGAGAAAGGGATTGAAGAAAGAGGTCAATGGAGTCAACGCTGGTCAAGGGGAGCAGCTTGGTGTACTCCATTTGTTGCCACAGCCGCAGCTTGCTGGGGGGAAAACGGAGGGATGTGGGGATGGGGAGGAGCTGGGAGAGTGAGGTCCAGAGTTCAATGGAGTCAACGCGGGTGTACTCCGTCTGCTGCCACAGCCGCAGCTTGCTGGTGGGGTTGGGGAGGGGACGGGGACAGGAGGGTAAGTTGCAGGGGGGACGACTAGACAAGTCAATGTAGTCAACGTTGGTCAAGGCGAGCAGGTCCGAGTCAATAAAGACCAGCTTGGCATACTCCGCCTGCTTGCTGGGGGGAGAAAAGTCAAGATGAGTGAGGAAACGAGTCAACAAATGTCAGGATGAACCAAGAAAACAAAGAAATGAGCAACAGAAATTACATAAGCAAAATTGAAGGAAAACAAGACAAAACAGACAGTAGGCTATGGAGTTAGCTGACAAAGACCAGTAGGTGGGTGAAAGAGCACAGGGTACACCCACGAAGATCTAAAAACAAAAGGGCTAAGGGTTAACACGGAAATGCGGAGAATGAAAAAGTGCACACAAGCACATTAACCTGTAATTCCGTTTGATATAAGCACACAAACCTGTAGTTCCACTCGTTATAAGTCCCCTTCACTGCGTTGGGGTTGCGAATCCTCTCAATCTCCTTCACCGTCCACCCCGCCTCCCTCAACCCTCGCCTGCTCTCCTCTTTAATCTCCTTCGATACAAGCACAACCATCTCGTGCCCGCTCCCCGTCCTCCTTATGCTGTGCCCCAGTACTATTGCGCCGCACACATAGCGTTCCGATGAGTGTAGCACTGTAGCATACGCGACGCGCTGGTTGGCTGAGAGGAGGGGAGAACGGGAAGGATGTGGAAGGAGGGGAGTTATAAGAGACGGGTGATTTGGCGGATGAAAGTAAAAAGAATAGTCTTCATTTTCCGGTTTGACGTCACTTCCTCTCGTGTCGCACTACCTGAGACATTGCTGCTGATTGGCTGAGCCATGGCGCATGATCCCAGGGGCTGTACACGTGTCAGCATGTCACTGGCCGTCAGGTTGTACAGCCACGTGTCACCCTCCCGCGTCGCGAGTCGCGAGCAGTGGAAGAGGTTGGGCGGCGGGCGGCACGCGGAGAGTAACACCACTGGTAACCACGTGCGATTCGCCTGTTACATGAGAGATAGTACAAGGGGATTGGGCGAAATAAGGCGGAGAGTAACACCACTGGTAACCGTAGATGGCGAACCTGGAACAGGGGAACCGAGAGAAGGGTTGGCTGAAATAAGGGGGAATGGATGACACAAGGACAGTAGCGTCTCTGGTAACCGCGGGCGATTCTCCACGGTACAGGTGGGATGGGACTCCCTCTCGGATATGGAGAATGGATGACACGTGGAAAGTAGCGTCTCTGGTAACCACAGGCGATTCGTCTGGTACAGGGGGGTTGGGAGAGGGAGAATGGATAGCACGTGGATAATAGCACCACTGGTAACGGGCGACGATCCTGGTACACTATCGATGAGGGACAATAGAGAACAGTACCCTTATGACGAAGCTTGTTATAGTGAGAAGGTGGTGTAGCCAGCGAACATCCTTCGCCCAGGATTCGCTAGGCTCGTCGCAGGGCACATGTGCGACGATGGCGTGGATGCTGGTCAGCCAATCTGGATAGCTCGGTTCAGGAATTGTTGGGCAGGATGACCGCGATTCGTTCACCCATACGGGGTACGCGTCGCGCCACGTCAGCTTCTCGGGCACACGCGGAACGGGCAGCGATAGAAGCTTGTAGCGCGTGGCGACGAAGGCGGCGCTTGTAACGGAGGGGTCGAAATTGAACGTTGCGACATTGGCGAACGGAACGCGACCTTTTCGCTGAAACGAGATCAAAGAGGCGAAAGCGCGATCGAAAGCCACGAGAGGTCCATCCCTATCAAGTGGGGGCTTAGCCGGTGGGGATTGAGCCGGTAAGGATACAGCCGGTGGGGATTCAGCCGGTAAGGATACAGGCGGTGGGGATTTAGCTGGTAATACAGGCGGTGGGGATTTAGCCGGTAATACAGGCGGTGGGGATTTAGCCGGTAAGGATACAGCGGGTGGGGATTCAGCAGGTAAGGATACGGCCGGTGGGGATTTAGCAGGTAAGGATACAACCGTAGGGGATTCCGTCGGTAAGGATACGGCCGGTGGGGACTCAGCAGGTAAGGATGCCACCGCAAATCCTTGCTGGTAAACGCTCGCCGAAAGGTTGGCATCGGAAGGGCGGGAACCCGCCGCTAATTTAGCATTGATTGCGTTCATATCGAACCACTCAATAGGCGAGTGCCGCGTGGCAGAGGACTTAAAACCAGGGTGCACATTCAACGCGGTTCGGCTTGAGATGTTGGGAAGGGGGTTTGGAGAAAAACAGTGATTGGCTCACGAGGGGCGACAAAAAAATGATTCCGCTAGAGCTTCGTGCATTTCGTAGGTGGCGGGAGGGGGTGAAATGGCGGGAGTGGGTGAAACCGAATGGCGGGAGGGATGAAACAGATTGGCGGGAGGGGGGGCAAACGAAATCGCGGGGGAGGGGGGAAACAAAATTGCGGGGGAGGGGGGAAACGAATTTCCACGGGGAGGGGGAAATGAAATTGCGGGGGCGTGGGGAAACGAAATTGCGGGGGAGGGGGGAAACGAATTTCGACTTGAAGGGGTTGAAAGCACACCTCGTAACCCACTCAGTCAAGGGATAACCTTTGATGCACATTCAGCTGAATGTGCACCCCGGTTTAAAAAAAGTGGTAAGCTACGAGGAGCAGACCAATCGACACGACGAAACAGCGCGCCGCTAAGAACAGCTTATCTCGAGGCTTGAGCTGCGACAGGGAAGTTAAGGAGATAATCACTGGGTGATGCGGCGAAGGGTGCGTATCGCTGCCTTTCAGCACGCTAGAAGGAGCACAGCCTATCATTGCGACGAGGATTACTATGAAGCCTTAGCACGTCGTAACACGCTTGGAGGACTTTAGCTGGACGCAAAATGTATTGTCTTTGAAGAAAACGGACTTAGCACAGAGCAACTGAGCAGAGTTGAGAAAATTAATGGCTGTCATGTCAAAAGACACCGGGGGGGACGGGGGGCGGCACTTGAAGCAAGAAAACCACCAACTGCTGTCGTCGTGGAGCTAACAAGAAATGCTGATCCTGACAGTAAAACAGCGCCATGCATTTTGTGTTGGGCATTTCGTGTTCGGCAGTTCATCCATCCATCTGCTTCAAGTGGGGGCTCACACGGCACATGTCATTTGGGGGCTCCGAATAGGTTGTGATTGGCTGACGAGGTGCGGAAATCGCAGGAAGGTGTAGCGTCGAGGGCTGCGAAACGAAAACGCAACCTGCAAGCTTGTCACCAAGTTTCTGGTTTCCAAAGCCAACTGCTTTCCAAACCTAAAAGGGGCCAGAACAGCACACCACAGTGAAGGACAGCACCACACAGCGCAGCACAGTAGCAGACTGCGCAGCACAGCACCACACAGCGTAGCACAACACCACGCAGCGCAGCACAGCACCATACACCGCAGCACAGCACCAAACCATATTTTCTTGCATGGCATGGCACTCTCGCTGGCCTTGAAAGTGATAAGGGCAATTCGTTTGTAAAGAGTGGCATCATGGCATGTCATTGGGCTTAACGAATGCGGCGCGAGAGGTAGGGGGTGCTGCTCGGCGAGGAGGTGCGGAACCTGTGGGGGGCGACGACGGTGAGCTGAAGTCAATTGCAACGCCCAATCACACGAGGGATGCGCTCGACTCGGTAATTCCTTTACGACTCGGTCGCCACGTTTGCGCTTGGCAAATCCAGCCTAATGGTAACCACTATAGTATCCGGTTCTGAATTTCGCAATCTCTTCGTGCATTGTCAGCTGAACCTTTTCGCCAGCCACCGAAAACTCCCCTCAAACCTGGTTTTTCAGCCTGGTTTTTCGTCAACCGCCTCTGGTAGTCTGTATCCCAAACCAGCTGTGACACTCCAATATACAGTATCGCGTTTTTGTCGTTCATTCCCCGGAACGTCACATCACAATGTCCGTTTTACCGATTTACTTCAGGGGTTGTTACAAGTTGGGATTTGCCATGCCTGCGTGCATGGGAATACCCGAACGGTTGGATTTCCCCTTGCCTAGATAGTTCCGAATAGGGAAAGGTGTTAACCTCGGAGCTTACTCTCTTATCCTCATCAGCTATTCGATGTCTCTAGAATCCAGCAGGGCATGGCATCGAGGCGCTATGCCAAGATGCCATGCTAGAAGCTTGGCGACACGGGCTTTCCTTACGAACCGCGTGTCATCCTTCCTAGCATAAATATCTCTTCTCCAATCTTGTTGTATCATCTCATCCTTGGATCATTCTACTTCTATCTTCTTGGAATCACTTCTTCCTATCTTCTTAACAAGGCTACGGCGCTACTGCCGCGCGGCGCGGCTAAGGAGGGAGAGCGCCGTAGCTAAGAATAAAGAAGAGCGTTGCAGCGGAAGGGAGAGAAGCTAGGCTAAGCTGAGAAGCCCAGCTCTGGAGACGTAGATGAGAGAAGATAGGAAGAAGTGATTCCAAGAAGATAGAAGTAGAATGATCCAAGGATGAGATGATACAACAAGATTGGAGAAGAGATATTTATGCTAGGAAGGATGACACGCGGTTCGTAAGGAAAGCCCGTGTCGCCAAGCTTCTAGCATGGCATCTTGGCATAGCGCCTCGATGCCATGCCCTGCTGGATTCTAGAGACATCGAATAGCTGATGAGGATAAGAGAGTAAGCTCCGAGGTTAACACCTTTCCCTATTCGGAGCTATCTAGGCAAGGGGAAATCCAACCGTTCGGGTATTCCCATGCACGCAGGCATGGCGAATCCCAACTTGTAACAGGGGTGTGTCCCGAGGGTAGGTCCGAATGCGGCACAATGGGGCTTGATACGATTTAGAGCGGTCTATTACGTACTTGTCGATGACGGATGTCTGCTGCTGAACCGCCACGATGACGGACGTCTGCTGTGTAATTTCGGAGGACTGTCGCAATCGCTAGGAGCCGTTGAACTCCTGGACAGACGTAGCCATTGTACATCATAAATAGACCGCTCTAGATTGTACCAAGCCTCATAGAATCGCACTCAGACCTACTTTCAGGACCGAACCTAATATCGTCTGACCATTCTACACCAGCATTTCCGACGTTCGTAATCTGGTCTGTGGATGGACATGACGTGACGTTTAGTGCGAAGCGTGCGACTTTCATTACGTCGCCAGCGATGCCGGCCACGGTAACTCCTTCGTCACCCACGTACGCTGACATGATCAAACAATTACGAGTTGGACGTGACCTGACGTGAGTTGAAGTGATGTGACGAGCATGCGTGCGGAGCGTGCTGTTCTTGGAACACGATTCTGATTCTGGACAGCGGTAGACAACTGAGTCGGCAGGCACGGCCTCAAGCCTGCAAGCCGCCTTTCCGGCCTCGGCGCTTCAGCAGCGAGTTCATCGTCAGGACGTCTCCGGATATTGAGACGTCTCAAAAGAGGTATGACTGCCTTCCGTGAGACGACCTTTATGACGCCGCAAATGAGATATGTTACCTTTTTGTGACTGACGTCTCAGATAGTAACGCAAACGGACTCAGCGACAAGATCACGAGCAGCGCTCCGGTTCCCCGTACGTCTGTGTGGATATAGGCGAATTTTGAGGCGCCTCGAAAGAACTCTGCTTCCCCGTACGTCCGGCTCAATCAGTCTCACGAATCCTCGCAAATAGCCATATCCTTTTCTTTTTGAACGTCTAAGAAGAGCGTGCTAAGCCGTGTAGGGGATTTGCGAGGACATTTCGAAGCTACCGCGGAACCGGAACAAGTCAAGCCGTGTTTTCAGGCACCGTACAGTACTAAGCGACTTAACCCCTTGCAATGTCGATCCCGATCTCCCCGCTGCTTCTCCGCGCGAGCCTTCGAGGAAAGAGCAGCCTGTTTAGGGCGGCATACTCCGTCGCGGCGTTCGTCCTACTCCTCTTAGCCTACCGCACCCGCGAGTTCCACGCGGCGCCGCGACTTCGAAGCACCATTGACGTCTTTAAGTGGGAAGGCATCGCTCTAAATCCCCCTCGGGTTTCTCCTGAAGTATCCCGACCAGCTGAATTCCCACTGCCTATATCTCTTTTACCGGCGGCAGTTGAATCCCCACCGGCTACTACTAACTTGAAGCTCCCGCCTGATGGGGATGGTCCTCGCGTCGCTTTCGATCGCGCTTTCGCCGCTCTGATCTCGTTCCAGCGAAAAAATCGCGTACCACTCGCGAATGTCGCGACGTTCAATTTCGACCCCTCCGTTACAAGCACCTTCGCCGCCGCGCGTTACAAGCTTCTCCCGCTGCCCGTTCCGCGCGTGCCCGAAACGCTGACGTGGCGCGACGCGTACCCCGTATGGGTGAACGAATCGCGCTCATCCTGCCCGAAAATCCCGGAACCGAACCACCCGGATTGGCTAACCAGTATCGACGCGATTGTCGCACATGTCCCCTGCGACGAGCCTAGAGATTCCTGGGCGAAGGATGTTCGCTGGCTGCACCACCTTCTCACTATTGCGGGCTTCGTTATAAGGGTACTGTGTTTCACATGTGTTTTCTGTGCTTGGCCTCGACGTCCTTTTGCTTTGGGCGTGGGGGGAGAAGTGGGTGGGATAAGGGTGGGAAGTGGGGTAAGAGGGACAAGAGGGGGTGGGGATAGTCGGTCAGGACGTGTGGCATTGGCTGCCTTCATTTCCCTGTTTTGTTTTTCACCAGTCGTGTAGCTTCCTCCCTGCCACCCTAATCCCCCCTCTACCGGACACAATGCTTGTAGTCACCTCACCAGTGTTTCCATTCTCCTTGGGTCATCCAATTCCCTCCACCACTCAACCCTCCTATCCACTCCTGTGTAACAGGCGAATCGCACGTGGTTACCAGTGGTGTTACTCTCCGCATGCCGCCCGCCGCCCAACCTCTTCCACTGCTCGCGACTCGTGACGCGGGAGGGTGACACGTGGCTGTACAACCTGACGGCCAATGACATGCTGACACGTGTACAGCCCCTGGGATCATGCGCCATGGCTCAGCCAATCAACAGCAATGTCTCAGGTAATGAGACACGGGAGGTCACAAGAAGAGATTTCAACTCGGGCGTGATGGTCCTGGAGCCGTCGGATTGCACATTTGAGCTGCTGATGGGAAATCTGGAGCGTGTGAGATCGGCGAATGGAGGGGACCAGGTGAGACCATGATGCTATGTCATGTGATGCGATGCGATTCCCAATCGATCCCCCCCCTGCAGGGAAAGTCCAAGCTCTTGCAATCAATCTCTCCAATAATTTCTCGTCCACCAATCTCCTTCATACTCCCCCCTGCCCAGGGCTTCTTGAACAACGTTTTCACCTGGTGGCACCGCTTACCAGAGTCCATAAACACTCTCAAACCCGTCTGGACCTCTGACCCTGTGAAGAAACAAGCTATCATCGATCTTAAAAGCAGGTGGTTTTCAGAAGACCCTTCGGAAATCCACGCTATACACTACCTTGGTATTAAACCATGGTGGTGTTACCGTGAATTTGATTGCAACGCGCTGCACCCGAAAGGTCACAATTTTGTTAACGAGGCTGCTCATAAGAGGTGGTGGAGTGTACATGATTCAATGCCCGAATCCTTGCAGCGCTACTGCGTGTTGACAAGCCGTGCTGAAAAGGAGATGAAAAGGCAAATGGAGAGGAAGATGAGGAGGAATACTGTATGAGGAAGATAGGACCGTGTTCCCCCAAATCGAGGCTCTAAAGGGCCTATATAGTGTTTTTGCCATTTATTGGAGAGGGGCCTATAATCGAATGATCTACACAGATACTGAGCTTGTAACGAAAATATGTTTTTAGCCTATTACGAGCAAACACTGATAGTGACATCATGCATTTCTTACTGGTAGCAGAAAACTCTACAAAGGGTGGTCTTATAATCGAAAGGTGTTTTTGTGCCCCTTTGCATCATGTTCGCCCCGGCCCCCGGAGCCAATATTTTGCGGGGATCTCTGTATGGGGGATATAGAACTGAAGTTTCATTGATTATTCCCAGAAATCGTACCATCAGATCATGTACAAACAAAACCAGCAAAGCTTCACTCCACCAGCCCATTCACATCTCAAGCCCCTGTTGCTTAGGGAGTGTGATGTCCAATGCAACCTACTCGTGCTCCTGCTGTGGTTGCTCCTGCTGCTGCTCTGGCTGGCCTGCTCCTTCTGCCACAGCAGCAGCTGCTGCTTTTCGTGCTCCTCTCCCCCCCGCTTCTCCAGCTGCTGCCCCTCCAGCTGCCTCTTCTAGTGCGACCGCTACACCAACTCCTGCCGTCACATCTGTTCGGCGCGCAGGCTTGATTGCCACTGCTGTACTAACGAGTCTGTGCTATCTCAAGTGTTTTTTTGTGTTAACTCACAAATTATGCACAGCAGCCAGACGCGCAGGCTCGGCTGTCGTTGTACACACAATCTTGCGTAATCTTCTTTATTCGATCCTGAGGCTTCTACACATCAGCAGAGAGAAGATCCTATATGAAGGGAGGAAAAAAGGGGAGGTATCAGCAAAGAGGATGACCTCTGTTTGAACTCAAAGGTCCAATTGGTTTCCACGCCAGCAGAGAGTGCGGAGAGTCACTCAACAACGAGAGTGGACTACGTGGGAGGCTACAGGATTGTACGGGTGATGTAGCGTTCTGTAGCACTTGTGTGTTCACGGGGAGATTTGGCAAGAGTTTCACTAGCAAAGACAGAACAACAAAGCACACAATGGCATGACAAAGTGAATACATCAGGAACCTTGCAACCTAGCAAGCAAGCAAGTCGACCTCCAACGCAGCACAAGGGCAGCTTGCCAACGCCGCAAGATGGCGGCGTGCCAACGCAGCTGGAAGGCGGTTTGCCAACACACCAAGATGGCGGCCAGTCAGCGTCATACTAGGGTGGCTTTCCAACACTGCAGCAGGGCGGCCTGATAGCTTTGCAGCAGCAGTTGTCCACGTGCGCACATGTGCGCACCCATCAAGTAGGGGCCGGCTGACAATTGCACCATCAGGTACATTGCGCAAGTGTCTAGGTCAACCACATGTCAACGATTGGTCCAGATGCTCCACGTCGACCACGTGGTGTCGTCACGAAGGTAGACTTCGCCAAAACCACCTAGGGCGAAGTTCGCGCACCCCCCCAGAACAATGTCAACCAGGTTACCTGGTCAACCAGAAAAAGGCCGCAAGTCGGCGCCCGCAGGTCAGCGTCATGCCGACGACCTCTTTCTTTGACCTCCTAAACCGTCCACTTATGTCACTTCATCGGCCAGCTTCGTGGCCGACTTTACAGAGATTGACTTTGACAAAGACGGCTAACCAAGCCGACTTGCTCCTCCAAGTCAGCGTCGACCACGAATTCGACTTTGCTCAAGCGAGGGCGGGGCCTTTTCGCATCAACACCCCCCTGCCCAGCTCAAGCTTGGGCACCCACACACACGAGGTCCATCCAAAATCTACGTAATAGAATACAGGAAATCTTTTGCCAGCATACACCCCAGCATGCCATTCACCGCACCAGCCATCGTCGTCTTCGTCACTAACGTTCGCTAGACTGACCTAGACGACCGTAACGGAACATTGGTTGAAGGCCGGAAAGTGCAGCGCCTTCGTGATGTACCGCAACACAATCTTCTTGCGCTTCACCATCTGTTGCAGCCAGACGTAGCGTCGCTCCATGTGCTTGAGGTTGCCCTTCAGCTTCAAGCTTTCGGTGACCGCGATGGCCAAGTGGTTGTCCACGTTCAGGATGGTCGGGAGCTACGTTACGCTGAACGTGGACAACCACGTTGAGGAAAAATCTCAGCGTAACGTAGCTCCCGACCAGCACATACTTCTCGTCGTAGTCGACGTTGTAGACTTGCATGAAGCCTTCACCACCGGGCGCGCCTTCTCGCGGGCGACCTTGTCGTCGACGTAGTACTTTGCCATAAGCACCCAGCTCATCCAGCTGGCCCACTCCCTCCCTGGGATATCCGCGCTTGCGCCTCGCCTGCATGCTTTGTTGTTATTCACATCTTGCCCTCGCCTTGCCTTACCTTCTTTGTTCTACTACAGATCCTCTCCTCGGCCATCAATCCACCTTTGTGCCTCCGGCTCTCTTCTCTGTAGTCGTGCTCGGTACTATTGCACATATCTCTGCAAAATATCACAGAAATGCGCGACACATACATCTACACTTCAGCTTGTCGTATCTTAAGAAAAACCGACGGACGCAAAAAAATGGACAAACCAAACCATGGATGAGCGGGCCCGGAGGAGGCTGGTCTTTGATCAGGACGGAGACCAAGGAAAGCAAAGTGTACCAACCACCGCCAAGGCGCTAAAGCCAAGGAGACCGCAGAAGCGGCAGAGAATGGTTTAGCCGGTGGAAGAGAGGAACAACGTCGGCAGCCTACGGAATCCATGGGGCGAGGTGGCTGGCGTGAAGAAGAAAATGAAGACCAAGCCACACGCTGGGTGAATCGGGGGGGCATCGCGCTGACCATGGGCAGAAGAAGCGGGGAGAACAAGTGTTGGTACTACACGAAATTGCTGGAGGTCTAACTGCCAGAGAAATTCGCAGGACGGCAGGGAAGAGGGGCGGATCTCCGCAACTACCTGATGCAGATCGAGAATTGTCGATACCGATGGGAGCAAGATGGTCTGGAGTTAGAGGAATTCTTCAGAGGCCTCTCAAACATGCTAACGGGCGAGGCGGAAACGTATTGTCGGCTGGTGATGGCGGACATGGTCCGAGAGCACCGTTGGAAAGGCCCGCAAAGCTAGGAGATCATGGAGGAGTTTATGAGGAGGCTACAACGGCAATTCCCAGTGCAAACTCCAGTGAAGATCCGCGAGTTCGCCCACACGCAGACGGAGAGAATCATTGCTGGGTTACTAAAGGAGGTTGAGAGAGCTCGTATCGAAATGGAGTGTATCGAGGACCGCCGCCGGGTCATTGGAAAAATCCTGAATGGTCTGGATGACGAGATGGTGAAAGACCTCAAGAGCAATGCCTTTGACCTGGGATGGGAAGCGACACTCCAACAGGTGTACGAGATGGCAGGGAGGTACAAAACCGGACAAAAAATATACGAGCTGGAGAAAGCGGAGGCACTTGGAGCAGAGCGATGCCAGGGAGCCTGGTCAGCAGCACCGTCAGAAGGGATGACACACCGAGACGAGCTGAGGCACGGGGAGGAGCAGACGTGGGCCGAGCACCGCAAGTTTCATCGCTGTTGGCAAACGGGGCACATATATTGAGATTGCTCACTGCCAGCTCAGTGTGACGGATGTGGAGAGCTTGGCCAACTAAAGCAAGATGTTGGTGCAACCCTACGGTTTGCACTCGGCTTGTTGTCCGTGTGCGTGAATGTGTGTGTGTATGGAATGGTATGAGGGCATGGGATAATGTATATTTCATGCTTATAATTGTGTGTGAATGTTGAGCCATGATGTCGAGTGTGTGTGTCGAGTCAATAGCGAGTTATCGCTAGACGCGTGTTACGCGGTCGTTTGTGTCTCGCGCGCGGTTTCTATTTTGTCGTGCGCGGTTTCTATTTTGTCCTGTGTCGAACGTTCGGCGTGTCGCAGGTGTGTGCAGCAGACCCATCAAGAACTCAAGGATGAGTTTGTGATGAAGAGCCCGAGCCTTGGTGTCAAGCCTCAAGTGATTTCGGAGCTCGCCAAAAGGGTACACCTCAAGATATTGAAGATAGTTACATTAATTTGTGTAGTGTAACATTTCACTTGGTGTAGGCCCTAGTGAAGGGTAGTTTCGAGACCCTTCGTGGTTGGGGACAGTGCGGCACTGTTCCACATCACTGTACCTCGGCTCTTGGGGTTTGTAGGAGCTGGGAGTCATTCCCAACTCGTAACTCTTCCTATCTTGTGTTCTAAGACTATAGTGGCTGCCATAGTACCGTTCGTTCAAACCGACGCTGTGTCGTCAATTCTTTATCAAATCGTGCAATCTAAATTGATAATTGTAGACGACGTGAAGACGCTCCAGATCCAATTTGAATCAAGTGCAGCTGTGAGCAGAACGCTATCAACGTTTGAAGCCGCTGTGCAGAAATCCGTCTGTGCTCTCTATCTTTCGTTTTAGGCACATTCAAGCCTATTGTGACTATAACAAGTGGTATCAGAGCCCCTTGGAGCAGTTTCGACAATTGCTGGACCTGAGGAAAGGGGTGGCAGAGGTGCTGGAGGCAGTGGAGAAGCCCAAGCTCAAGGCCAACCCCGTGACTCAGCCATGGCGCCCGTGCAACCAAGTGTTGGCCCATCTAGGGACGAGCCTAGAGTGTTTGGCCTTGACAAGTTCAACGGTGACAACTTTGCTGAGTGGTCCTTCAGAATGGAGAACGTGTTTGATCACTATGACCTGCTGGAGGTGATGGAAGGAACGGAG